AAAAAAAAAAGAAAAGCATCCTGTGTAAAAGGCCAGGTACATACGTTGGACTAAAAATGCGTGAAAAAGCAGCCAAAATCCAAAGAAAACCTTTGAAAGACCTTCAGAAAGAGAACTACTGCTCAAGACTACTTTAAAAATAAAAAAGTGTGGCTCCTCGTAAAATATAAAGAAACAAGGGGAGCTCGAGACTTTTGCAAAGGACTGTATATCACAACCAAAATGCCAAAAAAATAAAAAATGAAGCCATCATTGAATATACATACAAATGCCTGAAAAAGAAAACTACAAACATGGGCCTTCGTTTCTGAAGAATCTTTGCAGTGACATCTCTGAGAAACATGACGAGCAGCACAGTGACGCTCCATCTTTGTTGTTATATTAAAGCAATTCTTCCTCATGGATCAGAAGGGATCATGGTGTCTTACAACATTACCACAACAAAGGTTGTGGCACCACACAGTATCTTTGTCAACAAAGAATATTTGAACAGTTTTGTTTACCAAATCATAGCAACAAGGACCTCTGGGCAGCAAAATGTCATTGTTCTAAATTAGCTTTTAAAAAAAGAAAAGAAAAAACAAAGAAAATAAAGTTGCTAAAATGTGCAATTTCTGTTAAAATGTGCAATTTCTCCAAGGAAACCATAAGACTGTGGTAAAGACAGGAGGTCAGTAATGATAAAAAGGCAGTGCAGATAAACATCAGGGGACACACCCAGAGCCTAATCAAAGTGCAGCGCTCTGTGACGGCTGACGACATTCAGCCACTCGTGTAAACACTACAGAAGTATGACGGAGCGTGAGAAAACAAGAGCACAGTGCACACCAAACCACAGACGCTAAAGCACAGAAACAGAGACGAGGCAGACACACAAGACCCAAAACACACCACAGTGAAGCTTCTTAACACTGTTGTACATTTGTGACGTGCACAAATACAGTGATTACCCCCCCCAAAAAATGCCTAAACACAGTTCTACTGCAAAAGCAGATACTAATCAGCCCCACAGGCACGCACACACACAAATAAACTGTTGGTAAGCTGTTTTGGCAGTGATGTATGTAATGTCGCCAATGGTGTGGTTTACACTTGGGGGACATGACGTCAAACACACACAAACACACGCCGGTGAACTTACCTGACACTCTCCTGTTGAATCTGCTTGGTGGTGGAGCTGTGAACAGACAGAAAGAAAGAATTATGTTTTAATGTGGTGACATTTAATACAATTTCATGATTATATGGAAGAAGAAAAAAAATCCATATAACTATTTTATGCTCTGAATAGACTGTATTCATAATTGAAGGAGATTGGACAAAAGGTAGACAGACAGAAATAATGAGACTAAAAGTGGGACACATTCAGAGATGCAGGTGGGCGAGAAGATTTAGAGAGAAACCAAGTGCAACCAGGAGAGATTTAGAGATAAGAGAACGCAACAAAGAGCATTTTCAGATTAGCACAGTTATCAGTCTCTTTATACACATTAATGAGCAGTGACTAAAGACACCAGCATACACACACACATACAAACTTTCCCTGAGCTGAAGAGATGCATTTTTTCATGACTACAAAGTGGAAAAATAAAACAAAAGTTGATCACAAAAACAAAAAAAAACAAAATAGAGATATGAATGTATTAACAAATAACTTAATAAGGAAGTCTCAGATGCATGTTTACAAGTAAAACATTTCTAACTAATCGTACGTGTAATGAAGGTTATGCTGGAATAAAATCTAGCTGACAGATCACATTACATGTAATAATCATTTGGTTGCCTAAATAAGCAACACAATTCCCCCCCCCCACCCAAGTGTTGACAGGTTTCTGCGTTCGGAGGTTTGCGGTTTGTTTATATTTTGTTTCAACAAGATGACTTGTATGCACGCCAGTGTAGCCAGCTTCAAGCTGCTGCAAAGCACTGTTTGGATGCACAGATGCTGCTGGGGCGCTGTTAACATTTTTGAGCCGCCAGGGTAGCACATGTGATCTGTCTCTGCTTTCAAATTCAGCTTTCAAGGACTCAAAACAGCATGCACCTCCACTACCAGTATGTAACGGTAATCGCTGCAGATCAATGCAATGTGATGAAGAAAAAACAAAATATGAGGCGGCATGTTGTGTTTTTCTGAGTTCTGCTCATCCTAGATTGGGCAATAAAAAAAAAAATCAATGTATTCCTGAAACCCAAAGCTAAACACATTGTACTCTGTACAAACTAAACAAACACTGAGCCAAATAATGGTCAATGCATTTACATTAATAACTGCATATTCACAGAGATGCTTATCAACTTGCGTCATGTTCATACAAGTGGATGGAGTGCACTATGAACTCAGATTACAATACAGTTTCAGATGTGGTGACATGTGTAAAATAAAGTGGAGCAACCCTTCTTTTATTACACTGCCCTATAATTTATAAATAAGAGCAATCATGAAAAAGTCCCCTTATGGTGTCAATCATGATACAAGGAGCAATAAAACAAGAAATGGACTTTGCCTTCAGTCTTGATTAAAACACCTAGTAAAGGCCTTTCTCCTTAGGGACACCAATAAACTTGCATGTATTAATACTGAACTCTTTATCATGCTACAAACGAGCTATCCACAGTGCATACCAGACATGAAAAGTAGGGCTGTAGTCTTAGAGTTAACTGGGTGAGACTACAGCCTGAAACTGGTCTAGTTCTGCGAGTGTAAGCTGACCATTTGGGCATGGAGCAGCTACACTCACTGCTGGTGCTGCCCCTTTTTGTTGTTTTGTTTTTGTTTTTTTTTCCCCCAGACTTTTCCCAGCTGAGCCACAGGAATACTTGCCAGGAAGCCATCCTTTTGCTCACAATCTTTTCTCCTGGCTTTATGGCCTCTCAAGATCAAGGACCGGTGAGGCCCTGTGGCAAAGAAATTATTAACAGGGCAATGAGCTCTTCAAAGGAAATAAAACAGCTTTAACATTTCTAGCTGTTATTATTCAGAGTATGGACAATAACACATTAATTTCCTGTGTTACTTTGATAGTTGATTATACAGGAGCTGGCTTTAGCCAATGTTAGTAACAACATTAAACCCAAAGGACAGGAAAAACATCCTACCTAAATCAGGGAATGTTTCCTGGAAATGTTTCAACAACAACTATAATCAAGTTTAATATGTGGTCATGATTTCAAGTCCTGCGCACTTGACAAAAGAAAATTTTCAGAGCTATGGCAGCCCGGAAGAACACGGCTGGGTATAAATAGATAGCAGTGTAGATGAGAGCATATGTACAGTGAAACAATGTCTCAGCAGTGTGTGTGTGTGTGTGTGTGTGTGTGTGTGTGTGTGTGTGTGTGTGAGTGAGAGAGTTATGGCTGGGAAGTATATCTACTTTAGTGCACTGATAGGTTTTCAAATGAGATACAAAATGAGACAATATCACTTCTATCTGGACAAACTAAAGTTGGTTACATAATGTGTTTCTTCGGTAAAGCCAGTGCAACAGCTGTGCCCTCGAGTTTGTATGTGATTGTGAGTATTTAAGTCTGTGTGCAACATGGCCTTCATTTACGAACGCAGAGGGTAAGTTTGAGGTTCTAAACACCTGCTTTCTAGCAGTGGGCTGTTACAAGCCAGCGTGGGTATGGTTCACGGCTGAAATACAGATACACACACACAGCATGTGTCTATTGCTACCTTATTACCATCCTGTCAGAGCAAATTAGATCTGGACTGTGAAGACAGGAGCTTGGGGAAAACTCACATACACACACCACTTTACTGCAGTCATCTGGGGATATGGAGAGGATTTAACAATGCCTGCTCTCTCTGGAGATCAGGCTTACTTTGGCTCAACAGATAAAGCCATAGAGGGGTCCTAGTTAATAGTACACTGACATCTGTGTCACATCCAAGAGTAAATGATACACAAGTGTGCGTGTGTGTGTGTTAGCTCTCACATATATACCAGATAGTCAGGTTCTTGTGATCTCCTTTACTTGAAATCTGGATCTGCCTGCTTGCATGTTCAGTTTTAATGCCATGCATGAGTAAAACAGTGTCGGAGCCTCCCATAAAAGTTACAAGCCCAACAGAAGCAGTCCTTGGCAGATTGTGATTTAACCATTCAAATAAAAGCAAAAACATCTTGAAGAGGTTCTACACAAAGTAGAGGCAGATAATCTTGTGTTTTCTCATAAAACTGGGTGGGTAATGTTAATGAACATTAGCCAAAACAGGAAGTAGATTAATTTTCATTTTGCCAACACTAATACATGAG